GTCTTTTCAGTTCCAAAGGCTCAAGACTAATAAAGCTGATTTCCCCCTCTGAGATACACACCTTATTTTATTAGATTATTTCAGTATGAAAGATTCGTATCTTCCAGTCCGGTGAAGTAGGTTACAGATTGTTTCCCCTTCATCATCGGCAGCAGTAGTTGAAGGTGGCACTTTGAAAATATGATGAAACCATTCAAAATCAAACAAGGGATGGTGCTGGAAGATGAGACTCCCAGGTCAGAAGGCATTCACATAGCTACTGGGGAAGAGCAAAGGACAAGCAAGAATAGTGCTGTTGCTAATGACATGACTCAAAGCCAAAAGGAAGTCTGGCATTCCCAGAGGCAAAAGCAAAGACCCATGCCATGTAACACATACAACTGGAATTGGAGAAGGATGAATCAAGGCAAACTGGAAACCATAAAGCAAAAAACCCAGAATGGTTCAAGATCACAATATTCCATGTGAGCTAACTAAAGTGGACTGGAATGGGACATCTTCATCAGAAAACAGAAAATGTTGTTGTTTTTTCTGGAAAATTACAAACTCAGAAGAAATACATGGGCTCTAATGCTGAGGAAGCAAAGGGCTATATAGCAAAGTCTGACCAAATCATATCAATCAGAATTGTCCAAAAACTTATCAACTTAATTGTCATTTAACTCCAACAATAGTTGCTGAAATCAAAAATCCCTTCCAAGAAATCCCTGTTGAAATCCCTTCCAAGAAATCAAAGAGATATTCAAACCTTAGATTAAGAATGCTGAAAGACCAACAGAGGAGCATCTTTCTGATTAGGATAATATAAAATGAAGGTGGAACCAATATATGACATATTGTACAGAAGAGATAAAAAGATGAGACACTCAAAGACAATCTCAAAGACAATTTGTATGAGGAACAGCCTGCAAGATTAGGAAGTGAAGTGAAAGTTGCTCTGAAAGCACTTGGAAGGAATAAAGCACCCAGAGTAGATAGAATACCAACAGAAATCTTCCAAGTTCAGAGACTGAATTGGTCATAATCCTAACAGAATTTATCAACTAGGAATGTATGAAAAATCGACTTGAGTAGGAATCCACTAAATTCTCTCAGTTTTGCTTTCTAGTCTCTGGCCTGCTTTCTCACATCTGTAAGTCTGTCTTGGCACTGAGTATTTGTGGCTTTACCTGCCAGGAGCTGAGCCTCCAGAAATGCTATACAAATGGAGTCCCTCTTGCACATGTGATTTGTGGTTTTCTATGTGCTGCACATGTTGTGGAGGAAGTTTCTTAGGTTCTGTTAGAGTTTGAGAGTGTTTAAGAACATTTTGGCTCAGCTCACTTCCTAAAGTCAGGGCTGAGCACACCCCTAGGGCTGGCCAGGTTTGGGGGCACCACCACTCTGCTTCTACCTGGCTGTCCGGGTCCAGAAGGTAGTTCTGAGGACAGTTGCTCTGTGCCATGGCGGTTGCGTCATGGGGTACCACAGGACTCAGTGCTGTCCTCCATGTGCCTTAACATCTATATTAAAATGAGAGGACATCTGGAGGACTCCGCAATATGCTGGTGCTACTCAGCTCTACCTCTCTTTCACATCTCATTCAGGTGAGGCTGCCTCCATCCTGAACTGGGCCCTGAGCCTGATAATGGACTGGATGAGGGTCAATAAACTGAGGCTCGATCCTGACAAAATAGAGGTGCTGCTAGTAGGGGGGTCATCTGACAGGTTAGAGGGGCATTACCCTGTCCTTGATGGGGTCGCACTTCCCCTAAGGGACAGAGTCCGCATTCTGGGGGTGCTCCTGGACCCAGGTTTGTCCCTGGAATATCAGATAAACTCAGTGTTCAGGGGTTTTTTCTCCAGCTGCAGATGATATATCAGCTTCCTCCCTAGCTCAACAGACAGAGCCTGAAGTCACCCATGCACTGGTAACATCCAAAAGAGATTACTACAGTGCTCTCTATGTGGGGCTGCCCTTGAAGACAGTCTGGCAATTACAGGGCTGCTGGGTTAGTTGGGAGCTCCTAGAGCGACCCACATAACACCTATACTGAAAGAATTGTAATGGTTACAAATTGTGACCTGGGCCCGATTCAATGTGCTTGTGTTGACACAGAAAGCCAGCTTAGGCCCCAGTTACCTTAAGGAGCTCCTGCACCCACATGTGCCTACCCAGCCTTTGAGATCTATGCAGGGGGCCCTCCTGTGTGAGCCATCCATTAGGGAGGTGTGAGGGATGGCCACTTGGAGGAGGGCCTTTTCTGCAGCTGCTCCCCATATCTGGAATGCTCTCCCCAAGGAGATTTGCCTGGTGTGTTCCTTGTACTCTTTTTGGTGCCTGGCGAAGACCTTCATTAAATTGTTAATGCCACTCAACCTTCTGTTTTATATTTTTATCTGTATTTTATTAACATTGTATTTTCAAGTGTTGTAATTATTTTTATTGTGTTTTGTCTCACGACTGCGAGCTACCCAGAGGTGCTGTGGCACAATTGGGCGGAATACAAATGTTATAAATAAATAGACGTCTGATGAGCAGAAGAGAGCCAGATTCCACATGACTGTCATAATACTAATGCCAACAAATATGGAAAACAAAACAATGGCCCACAGACTGGGAACATTCAATAAAGAAAACCAATAGGAAAAAAATGCAGAAACTACAAGACTAGTGCACTGATTTCCCATGCTAACAAGGTGATGCTCTAGGTGTTAAAACAAGGAACTTCACCATATATGGATGAGAAATGCTTCACATTCAAGCTGGATTCTGAAAAAGAGGCAGCACTGGAGTACATATCACAAATATGGAGGGCACCTGTTAATTTCAAAAGATCAGTCTATACAGCAAAGCCTTTGATTGCATGGACCATGAGAAACAATGCATGGTCTAAAAGAAATTGATGTGTCTCAGCATCTCCTTGTCCTGATCTGTACTTGTATCATGGGCAAGAAGCTACTGTTAGGAAGCATATACAGAAACAGAATAGTTTCCTATAGGCAACAATTGTAGTTTGGGAACATCATGAGAAGGCAGGACGTACCAGAGAGAACAATAATGCTAGGGAAAGTTGAAAACAGAAGAGGAAGACAAATATAAGATGGATTTACTCCAGAAAGGAAGTCACAGCCTTGAGTTTACAAGGCTGAGCAAGGATGCCAAGGACAAAACATTTTGAAGAACATTCATACGGTTGCCATAAGGTGGAGACAACTTGATGGTACATAACTGATTTCAGGAAGATATTGCCTACACACAAATTTAGAATATTTTTACATGACCCAGCAATGTCTGGACAAACAGAGAGGCTCCTCAGGTCAGTTTGAAGACATGTATGTATACACAAGATGACAGCTGAATGGTGTATTAATGGGTGAATTTACAGGAAAACACACTGCATGCCTAATGTGCCATTAAGTGGAAGTTCTTTTGATGCATATTGTACAAGATTGCAGCCTTACAGTGTAATCCTATATACGTCTACTTAGAAGAAGGTCCAGCTGAACACTAGTTGCTCTTTAGTTATCATCAAATCTCTCTCATCCTGTACAAATGAAATCCATACATAAACCAATTAGCACCACAGTCTAGGAGCACTGACTAATCTAGTAAAACTTTCATAGTATGCACAACTATAACTTATGCATTACCATATTAATCATATGCAGGGAAGAAACCAAGAAAAATTATCTTTGTTTGCTTTTAATAGTATTAAATGTGAATGATAGGTACTCCCTGCTGCCCCCCACTCCCTTCCCACAGCACAGTGGTTGCAGTTCTTGATGAGTGAAGGTGGAGAAAGAGATCCAATGTCCCAGCCTTAATAAGAAGGTCAGTCAAGTTACCATTTCAACTGTGTGGATGTCTCAATTAAATGTTCCATTCTGGGGGGAAACTGTTTTATTAAGGGATAGGAAAAAAAACACATTTGTAAATGAAAGCACCCACCAGAGAGTTGAATTGGTTTATCTTAGCTCTCTCCAGATCACCAGTGTTGTTGCATGTCAGGGAGCCAACAGCCCCTCTTCTCTCTGAGTTCCACGTGGCCTCTTCAGTGCTTGTAAGTCCCCAAACTTCTTGACTTGTAAATTGAGAACATGATCAGGAAATAGCCAAGAGAAAATAAACAAGGACAGCCTAGACTTTGCTGTGCCAGTTTCACAGAGGCTATTTTTACTGAGAGATCTTATTATATTATACAGTAAGAATGAAAGGGACATAGAAATGGGTTCTAGCAGCAAAGGCAGGCACAATACAGCAGGTTCAAGGTAACAGCACCTTTACATTCTCTCTCTCTCTCTCTATGAATTCTTGTTTTTACATGTCCCTGTAAGAATTAAACCATTATGGCTTGTTTATTTCCATATGCAGGTTTGGGCCTGTTTAACCATAGGGCCCAGTTAACTGAACTAAGTGCTCATATGACTGAAAAACTAGAATATACATGACTATTAATTTTGATTTATCAATTTAACTAGCTATCCATTTTAAATGGTCACACAATCCACTCCAGCTCTGTTGTATTTCTTTCACCCAGCCAATATACATACATCTGTACTGAATCTATTGTTATGCAAGACCATGCACCTTAGTTATATTTCCTGCATTATTAAGGAGATTCCTTCAGAAGCACTGAGTTTAGTGAAATACAGTGAAAAGATTTCAACTGATTGAATAAAAGCTCAAGGCATTGCAAAAATTTTGAAAATATCTAGGTAAAGGTAAAGATTTCTCCTTGACATTAAGTCCAGTCATGCCTGACTCTAGGGGGCGGTGCTCATCTCCGTTTCCTAGCCGGAGCCAGTGTTCGTCCGCAGACAATCTCCATGGTCATGTGGCTGGGTGATGACTAAACACCGAAGTGCACAGAACGCTGTTACCTGCCCACCAAAGTGGTACCTTTTTATCTTCTTGGATTTGCATGCTTTCGAACTGCAAGGTTGGCAGGAGCTGGGACAGAGCAATGGGAACTCAGCCCATTGTGCAGATTCAAACCAGCGACCTTTTGATCAACCAGCACAGCAGTTTAAACAACTGCACCACCTGCAGTCTCTTGAAAATATCTAGCATTACTCAAATGTCCCCTGCAAGTTTACAATCTGGTGCTAGCAGTGATGCAGTAATCTAGGAAACAAAGTACTTGACATACCTTTTTAGACCTGGTCTTCAGCAGTCTGAGCTACCTGACCAAATGTTATATTTGTTTTCCTCCCCTGTTTTGCTAGTTTCTGCTTAGAACTGAGTCTATTTTGTGCTTGCTTCAAACTCCAATTAGCTGCACTTCTAAATTTGGCTGTTTGGCTTTAGGGATTAGAGATATCAGATAAATTGGATACAAATGAATTCTAATAAGTTCTGGATACCCCACTTGCAGATTCTGCAGCTGACCAATTTTGCCTGATTTGCAGATTCTATGCATCTGGGAAATCTTTGTTTTTTACTTTCTGTAATTTTATACAAACTTAATCATAAAAATACAAAATATTAAAAAACTGACAAGAATATGCATTACCCCCATAGACTAAATCTGAAATCCAATTCCATCAACAAGCAGCTGAGAGGAACTTGACAATCTGCAAAAAGCAAAAAATGTATTTAACAAAGTTCATATACCCCTAAGCACAGCTTAACTACAGATTTTACACAAGTGACAATACAATGATCAGTATTAATTTACTTTTTGTTTGGATATGCCTAACAGCTGATTCACTAGCTACAGCTAATCCCTTTTCCATTATTGACTTCTTATTCAGCTTTCTAAGCAGTATATGTCCATGTGTCATTCACCTGGCCATGAAATAATATATATTCCATTTAAAACAGTTGGTTAAAGCTTTCAATACATAAAGAAAGGAAGACAGTGCATAGTCCATCTACTGTTCAAGTTTGCTTCAACAGCACCACACTGTGGCTATCTATTTAACAGCATACAGTAGCAGCACAAGACAAATAAATCATATCCACCTATTAGGATTTCTAAACTAGATAACCTAAAGTCTATTTTACCTCTAAAGTCTCTATTGCATACCATGAGTCCATTTTCCCCCTGGAAGAACTTTCAGAAGAGGTTGTTAGAACATTTCTTAGCACTATAACATTAAGGTTATAGGATATTTTTAATATGCCCTTTTGGTATTAAAATAACACAAGTGAGAAGTTGGAACATAGTTTTAAATTTTCACAGCAGAAAAACAAAAAGGTTGCTCTGGCTAAGATTCTTCAGTAAGCCTAGTAGAGATGTCAGAGAAATCCACAACAGATTAAAATGAGTTTGGATTTATTTTTTATTTAAAACATTTCTATGCCGCCCCATCGCAACAAAGCCTCGGGGCGGCTCACAACACATAAATAAATACAGAAGTAATAAAATAAATACTAAAATTATACAATAAATAACACCCCCCAGTGCATTCTCGGCTAAAAAAAAAAAACCTAGTTAATAAATAATTAACAGTTAAAATAAGTTAAAAAAAAAAGGTCTTAGCCTGGCGCTGAAAAACAAATAACGACGGCGCCAGGCGGACCTCTCTGGGGAGCACATTCCATAGATGGGGCACCACCGCAGAGAAAGCCCTCCTCCAGGTGCTCACCCTCCTAATCTCATTCACTGAGGGTTCCCGGAAGAGGGCATCTGCTGCTGACCTCAAGGGGCGGGAGGGCATATATAGGTGCAAGCGTTCCTTTAGGATTCCTAGGAATCTGATTTGCGGACTCCAAAGTAGACTGTCTCCAAGTCATGCAGGCTTTTTTCTTTTCCTTTTTTAACTTTTAGGAGGGGAGGGCTGCAAATTAATGAAATTCTCACACCAAAAAGTCAGTTTCAGGAAGAATTCTTTAGACTGAATAATAGAAACGATGTCTCCATAACTACAATGTAGGAAGCCTGTAAAGTATACAGGAGGGGGAAACCTAATAGCAATGGGCTCAAAGACAAAAAAAGAAAAACTGGAACAAATTATAAATCTCCACAAAAGAATTCAAATACTAGAGAACCATCATAAGAAGTCTCCAGACAAAATGACCTTAACTGAGCTCAGACAATTAAGAATCCAACTAGAATTGACTGAGATGGAGGAAATTCAGAAATTAATTTTCTTAAAACAAAAACACTTTGAACAAGTATATAAACCTAGAAGATATCTAGCATACTGCCTCAAAAGAGAAATAGAGAAGAGATCATTAACAGGTTAAAAAAGGGGCAATGAAATCACTCATGTGGAAAAAAATATATAAGTTCAAAATTTCTTTTCAAATTTGTAAAAAGAAAAAAAAAGCTTAACATCAGAAGATGGAATGGAGCAATAAGCTCATTGACAAGTTCACACCAGATCAAAGAAAAACACTAGATAGCACAGTCACCATTCAAGAAATCTTGCAAGTTATAAAAAGATTTTTTTAAAGATAAAAGTAAGATTAAAAAAAATAAAAATAAAGCACCTGGACTGGATGATTTCTCTGCAATGTATTATAAGTGGGTAGAGGAAAAATTAATACTACCACTTCAAAAAGTAATGAATGAAATTAAAAATAAGAGATCATTGCCCTCATCATGGCAACAGGATTATATAATATTGATACATAAAGAAGGCAATGATCCTGCTTTGCCAGTCTTATAGACTACTAAATGTAGACCTACTTTTTACTTTAATAATGGTTGAAAGATTAAGAAAATGTATAGAAAAACAAATTCATACAGACCAGACCAGATTTATACCAAATACATTAATGAAAGATGTCTGCTGTGATCAATGCTATTGACTATATTAAGAAAAAGAAAAAAGTAGCATTTATTTTCCTAGGTGTGGAAAAAGCCTTTGATAATGTTTCTTGGTCTTTCAAGATCTATGAACTGGATCTAGGCAATTTATACAAAGCAACCTGCTAAGATTTTTATACATGGGATCTTCTATTTGAGGAAAAATAAAGACTGTAACATATGGGGACATGGCCAACCAACAAGGACAAATCAAGTTGTGGTAAAAAATAAAAGATGAAGGAAAAATATAGAATGGTTCCTTTATTATCAATTAGTCTCAAGATTAAAAGGGGAAACTCAATCAGGAAAAAACATAAAACACAATCTTACTTTTTTTGAAACTATAATTAAACATCAAAAACTTCACCTCCAAGGATGAATTTACAAATTATTGCTTAAACATGATGCAAAAACTCAACAAATTAAAATATCTATGAAAAGCTGTTGCAGAACTTTGAAGAAGAAATACAATCATATCAATGGGAAGCCTTATGGATGAAAGATATAAAATCATTGCAGCTAACGTTATAAGAAAACTGGTATATGAAGTATTTTTGGTAGTATATTACCCCAAACGATAGTCAGAAAATGGATGAGAACTTTAATGGAAAATGTTGGAAATGTAGAGAAAGATAGGACACTCTACCATATGTGGTGGACGTGTGATAGAACTAAAAGACTTTGGAAGCAGATATATAGGAAATGCAGAAAATACCTAAACTTAACTTTCCAATGAATGCCAAGAATATCCTATTTAGTATTGTACCAGAGACTATTCCAAAGATTATGACAGAGTTATTTAAATACATGATAACAGCAGCAAGAGTGATAATTGCTTCAAAGTGGAAAGCTGAAGACTGTCCAACTGTCGAGGATTGGAAAAACAAGTTAGCTGACTACACAATAATGGGCAAAATTAACTAACTACATTAACAGAAGGCCAGTCAAAGAATTTACTCACAGATGGAAAGCTTATTATGAGCAATTTGTTAAAGAAAATATAGTTTTTATAAATGTAATTACTCTTTTCAAGTTAAAGCAGTAAAATTGTCTGACTGAGAACTGAATTGTTTTGATGAGATTATAGCCAATGAGATTATCACTTTTTATGAATGTTTAAATGTTGATTTCATGTGCTATATTTGTGGATTGACCCTTGGCACCTTCCTATGTCCCCTTTCCTATTATATTGTGTGGGGAAAAAATAAAGATTTTAAAAAATGGAAATATAATTAGGTCACTGAATAACTGTGCATGGCACTGCATTTGGAATTCTGTAAATTGCAATATTCTGATAGATTCAAGAGTAGAAACACTTACTGCATAGCCATCCTTTCTATTCATTAAAATCATGAAATTAAAAAAAAAAAATCTATTAAAGTCAATTTGCAGACAGCAGAACAAAGACACCCGACAATCCACCAAACAGAACAGATTTAACAAAATCTATACATTGCAACATTACAAAAAAGAAAGCCACCCCCCCCCCCCGCAACCGTCCTCTCAGCTTCTAATAAACTACAGGTACCAAACTGCAAGATACTGGCTACTCAACAGTGACTACTCAAAGGCAGAAGTATTTCAAAGAAACAAAGGCACTCAATGCTTATGCGGTTAACAGGTCTGCCATATACCAAAAGGACTGCAGATCTGGCTTTGTTTCACACGTGTGGGCATGATGGTCATGCATTTACAAGGAAGTCCACGTGGCAGCTGGAATGGCACACAGGAATTTCCTTTGACAAAACTGTAGAGTGCTAGAGCAAACAAGAGGCTCTTGACAGGCAGTATAGCTTGGAACAAGGCTCTTATCTACTGGAGGCCTGCCATAAGGATACATGCAAACAAGGCCATTTATGGATCATGAGGCATTCCACCCACAGTAGGAATATGGGGTAGAGAAGGGAGAGAGACAAGGCTCATGTTGACAACATATTCTTATTTATTAAAGTGAAGATAAGGGCATACTGGAACTGAAGTTTATTCTACTGAGCATTTATGCAGTGTTTTAGATAAGCAACTTTTTATATATAGGATTAGACATCTCTCTCTCTCTCTCTCTCTCTCTCTCTCTCTCTCTCTCTCTCACACACACACACACACACACACACACACTTTTCTGCAGAAGAAACTGGCATTCTTCCTTGTGGTAGTTCCAGACACAGAATTCAATTGGAAGCAGAAATATCCCCTTCCATTTTCAAACCTATTTTTACACAAGCATATTTCAATATTGCCCCTTTTTATTTTCTTGCTTCTAAGTGTGTTCTATTTAGGAAGCTCATGCAAGGACTACAGCCTAGGAAATATCCCCTAGAATAGCATTATCTGAATAGAATGATGCCATATTTCCTGTGGCAATCTGTTTAAAGTTTGGAAAATGGCAGCCTTCTTGCTGAGGGCAAAAGGGCAGCTGTTATAGCTAGGACTCTTGTTTTGATTGTCTCTCATTGGTTTTTTCCTTCCACTACCTAATGCACATCAAATCTCTGGGACAGGGGTAAAATCCACCTCTCAGATGTATGATGGATAGTCATAATCTGAACCTGATAGTTCAACACTCTCTCCTTGGGTACATCCTACTGATTTGTTGAACCTAAACTGTAGCAGAAGTATTTCAATCTTTTAGAAAGAAGAAAGATTTCACAAAAGTTGGGAAAACTGCAAGTATTAGCATGGTATGTCACACTGGGAGCAAGAGGGGGGATGCCTCACTTTCTGTAAAAGACAAGAATACCTTTAAAACAGATGAATATTCTTCAAAATATTCTTCAGGTGGGCCAACAGTGTTGGACATATTCTGCTATTTAAACAAAACATGAAAGGTACCATGTGGCTTGAAATATTTACTCACAAGCCATCTCTTTAGAGATAGGAACAATGGGATTTTAATACAGTATGAGATCCAAAGTTTGTGTATTTTTAATGAACAGTATACATTTGACTGTTTACAGAACATGAACGAAACTTTGCACAATTCAACAACCAGAGGCTTAAAAATATAAAAGACATGGAGACAGCACAATACATCACAGAAAGGAGACTTCAGTGCATTCACACCGCTCACCACTTTAGGCAGCACCTGCCTACTGAATTAGGAAGGCTGATTCAAAGTTTCTTTGTTTCCAACTCAACTTCAAGAAAGCATTTGTAACATGACAACTTTGCCTATTTTAAAAAGATGTGTTTACAACCCAGATCAGAAACAGATGGGAGTGTTTCAAAAATAATTACATATTCTGAAACCTGGCATAGAGCAAAAAAACATGAATATAATCATGCAGCATATTCTAAATTAGATAAGACAGAATAGGAACAGAACCGAATCCTTGGTGCTGAAGCTATTTTTACTGCCTATTGGATAAAATATGGTTTAAGAAGTCCATGATATCCCTTGCCTTAAAAGACTGTGTAATAGTCTTCCATTGTAGTGACAACATCACTGTTAGCCTCTAACCAGTCCAGGAGGCAACAGATCACAGCTTCGGTAACATACGGGCTGTAGCTCTGTTGAATACAACTGAGAATGTGACGTCGGTGGCAGCCCTTTTCAGCATCTATAGAAATAAAGTGAGAATGCAGCACTGAATAGACAGGCAGAACTATATTGTGTGTGCATTTTTAAAAAATTGGATGCGTTCAATGAAACAGAAGAATCCCACAATAGATGCAGACTTTTCACACAAGGTACTACCTTGCAAGTCACAACTGTTTTTTATTGTTTCATATATTCAGCTAATATGAACTATTCACATATTGCTAATGTGTCTTGCATCCAAACTTTTGCACTGCCCCTCTAGTTCCTCAAGAAGAATATTCGGCTGTGTACTTCATGGGTTGCATTCAGTCTTTGTTTTCAACTCCAGTACTAGCTCTGAAATGCTCATCCACCGTGAAGTATGTGTACACTTACACGCCTCCAAGAAGAGGAAATCAGATCTGAATAAGCAGAAAGAGTTCCAGTTTCTTGTTCTTGAGTCTAGTTTGCCTGTTAGCAGCTTACTCAGACACATCTGAAGTTTGCTTTTGTTAATAGGAGCACCTCTTGATAGGAGCATCCCCTCCTGTGCTTTCCTTTCAGGAATCTTTCCTACCAACACACACTAGCTAGATTAATCCTTTGGCTTCTACAAGCAGGAAATGAATTCTTCATGTAGACATAAGGTTCAGCTGACTTTCCTGCCACACATTGGGCAATTGATTTCCTCAGGATTAGACATTCTTCTTCAAGGAGAAAGCAAGTAAACATACATATACATACACACTGATGAAACCCTTCAGGTTCAAAAAGCATTAAGAAATCCTGGAATAGTCCCAGCTGGAAACAACCTGGGGATCTCTATCATGATCTCAACCATAGCAAAACAAGCCAAACAAACTAACCTTCATAGCATACATTGTACAATCAAAACCCATACATTTTTACATATAATTATTTAAGCCACATTTTAGACACATGGCACTCTCAAATTAAGTTACAGAAGCAAAGTGCTCTTGTTTCCATCTTATGGCAAATGATACATATACTTCCTTCCTTGTCATGTTTTACATAGGGGTTCTTCCTGTTGTACTTGCTAATACATGTGCACCTTCACCAGAATTACAACCAGCAATATTCTGATCAAGGGATATACTCTTTTATGTAATAATTATAAACACCAACTAGACCAGGGTGATTCAGCTTTTTGTACCTTGAGGGTCGCATGAGGACTTCGACATGAAACCCAGGGTAGCACAAAGAATTACATTTCCATATCGTAAATTGAAGTGTTCACATATATTAATATACACAATTAGTATATTTAACCATTAAATGAGGGGAAAAATTGGTATGAGGTCTCAGAGTTGGCTAACCTAATTGAATGAAAAAGAATGCTTTGTGGGTCTGTGATCTCTGCAGAAATCACAGGCAGGTTCTTCTCCAATCAGAGTCCAAGCACAATGTCTGCTTCCCTGTTTCTCCTACCCAGAAACCCACCCAAGTCCCTCCTTCCTTCCTGAAATTGGCGCACTGACCTTCTTGTACTTGAGCGGATGAACTCTCTGCACTATGCCCCACGCACTCCTGCTGGCAACTGCAAAGGTGCACCTGCGGCTCAGGAACTGAGCGGGAATGGCTGGTGGCCTTGGGAAAGCTCTTTGCAATTATGCCTGTGCCATCACTAGGATCTGGACTGGGGGATCTGAGTAGCAGAACAAGGCATCTGGGGTTGCATGTGGCACACAAGCAGGCTGCATGTTGGACTACCCTGAATCAGACACTGTCTATGTTGCTGGTAGTTCTTATTGCAGAATTTTTGAACTCTTTTTAATTTTAAAAAAAATATTTTAGCCCAGTACTGCATTAGCACTTACTTTACTATGAGAACACTGGCATAACCCTTCTGAAAAGGAAAACAAATGCAAGGCTGGTGCAGCTCCAGTTTTATTTTTCCAGGAGGTATAAAGCTGCCCCAACAGACAGGTGGCAGATTTCAGAAAAAGGTTTCAAGCACTTTGAGACAATTCACTTAGGTGCTGGATCACCACTAAACACTTCCATTGTTAGATTTCATTCTGCAGATGCTATACCTTATAGCATGTCCTCTAAACCTGCAGATATTTTCTAAAAGGTTCACAATGATGAACAGGATTCAGAGTGAACTAAAAATAGTTTTATTTCCTTACAGAAACCAAGAAAAAGTGAAAGCAAACATGACAACAAGAGAGAAGGCAGATATACTAACCCTTTCTTGTTTGTGTAACAATGGTCAATTTCACCTTCCCATGGAAGTTACTTTGCTCTGATGTGTAACAGATACATTTTCCTATTTAAATTCAATTATTACTTATTTGTAACTTGATCACATATGAAACTATGTGATCAAGAGCTGCCCACACTTACATTTTGGCCTCTTGCAATCAGCTCTTAGGACTTCAAGGGTTGTTCTATGCAATTCTCTATCTTGTTCTGTTACCTAGAAAAAAAGGAAAGATCCCTAAATCACAGTAATGTATATTATAGTACATGAAACATGAGAGCCAGGCCTACAGTGAGAGACTACTACAAATAAAATATTACTGGAAATGATTGCTCCAGGGTATCTTCAGCATGTAGAGTGATTTCAAGCTTACAAGAATTTAATTTAAAACAATCCCACTGTTCAAAGTCTTTGGTGTTAACATACTATTGCTCTGCTCCAGGGTTTCCATTTATTCTTTTCTATTCTCTGGCCCAGCTTATATATGGCACTGATAAAGCCCATAACTATAGAAGCACTCCAGGGGCACCTGACCATCTTAAAGTGCACTTTCTAACAGTGCTGGCTTATCTGCAAATAACATTAGCATGCAAGCAACATGCTCCACATGGTAAGCATATTCAATTGTGATAAGGTGTGTGTAAAGCTACATGGGTAAGGGCTTAACCTGTTTATACATCATTTATAAACCATACAATGTACGATCCAGGCCTTAGAAACTTACGTAAAACAGATTCTTGGGATTCTGTGATTTCTGGAAAATAACACCCTTTTCCTGCAATACCTGGATTGCTTCTGTGAAAGCTTTTCTGATTGATTTGGAGCTTGGACCAGCTTCTGATTCCATCTGAGCAGAGAAAAATAGATAAAAGGAGACATATTTGTATAAAGAAGCATGAGAAGCATGCAAGTTAGTTGCATTAAGGTTGTTTATTTGGGTTTGTACAGGAATCAAAACACTTAGAAGCACTCCTCTTCAGATAGCAGCCACAGTTTTGGCCTGAATTGTAAAAAAAAAAAAAAAAAAAAAAAAACCTTACTTTAGCAGTTGGAGGAATTAGCTGCCAAAGTTATTTTTCCCATGAGACACTGACCCATTTTTAATATCAAAAGGGAACTGAACTAGGGGATTGCAAAGAAGTGCATGTTAATTATTCGCTTTGGTCTAGTGCATCAATCCTGTCTGACAACAGTTTTAATTAAGAGCACTCTTCAAGCAAGCTGACACAATGCTTAACTTGGATAGTTCCCGAAAGAATTGCTAATGACAAACTTCTTGTGACTGACAGAAAAAGCACAAGAAATAGATGTTCTGTTGGAAGTAAAAGAGAGGAGCTTTTCAGGAATCCTGGTATGTATGCTTTAACAAAATTATTCCTTGCTATATAGATAGCTCTACATTTTCATGCCTCCTTATATCTCAGTCCACAGCATCACCATTTGGGCCATTATAGGCCATGTTATCCCACAATGAGCATTTCTAATAATGGGCTGATTGTGGAGGATTCTGCTGGAGGGTTGTTTTGGGTGGGGTGGGGAGAACGTTTCTCCAATCTAGGAGCAGCTCACCAGAAATACGTATTTCAAAGATCTACAGCAGGGGTGCTCAAACTTTTTGAACAGTTGAAAGGTGCTGGCGATGAGTACGGGCCACCAAGGCGGTGCAGACAGCGGGCGCATGTGCGTGGCGAGGGCAGGCGTGCACAGGGATCATTTTCTCTGAGTGAGTCCAAAACGATCTCCTTGTAAGCAAGCCGGCGCCTCGCCACAGATGCATGCGGCGAGTCCAAAACCTGTGGCGGGCCAGATAAATGGGCATGGCAAGCTGGATCCGGCCCACAGGCCGTAGTTTGAGGACTCATGATCTACAGCATGTCTTCCTATGAGTTCCATGACTGTATGGCTCTGAACCTGGGTCACCATGATAAGTCTTCTGTCCATTCTCCACTTCGATTCTTGGTATAGCTAAGACAACAACTGTGGAATGCATACCAGGACTTCTACAGCGATTTAGTCAGGAAAATGGGAGACAAGCTAGCAGCAGAAAGCAATTAAGTAGGAACATATAGAGCATGGAATAGGAAATTTAAGTAGATCATTCATAAAGGCAAGGGAAAATACATAAAATGTACCTATGACTATAGAGTAACATGATACACTGGGGATTTTCTGCTTTGAAAAAGTAATTGTTGTATTCTGCCTGAAATGTGATGAGGTGCTTTGTACTAACAAAGAATGCTTGATTAATTTACTTGTTTCAAAAGATAAAGACTTTTACAACTTATCTGTTTCTTAGTTTTTCTTAGCTGAGAGGGTATAGTCACGGTCCAGTCCAACACAAGCATCCCATTGTGCCTGTGTATGCATATTACAAGTATTTGTGTGTGTATAATTAAAATCTGGGATAAGCCCTTCATGAATCTAACAAAAATACAGAAATTTATGCCATAATAAATGTGTTTGTCTTTATTTATTTATTAGAACATTTCTATGCCGCCCCTTGCCGAAGCCTCGGGGTGGCTTACAACACAGTAAAATACAATAAAATACAAAAATAACAATATCAAATTAAAATTAACAATATAAATAGAAAATATAAAAGATATAAAAGAAGTGATAAAAGAAGTCGCCCTGGCCAGATAAATAAGTAAATATTGTTAACAATTAAAATGACGTTTAAATAAAAAGGTCTTCACCTGGCGCCGAAAAACAAATAACGACGGCGCCAGGCAGACCTCTCTGGGGAGCACATTCCATAGATTGGGCGCCACCGCAGAGAAAGCCCTCCTCCGAGTACCTACCCTCCTAAAGTACCAGAGGGTTCTGCCAACAAAGCATACCTCAGTTTTCTTCCAATTACCTCAATTATCAACAGTCCTCTGTTACCACTACTTGGAGAGTCTGCAAAGCTCCATTCCCTTTCTTTTTTTCCTTCTTTGGCCCAAGATATCTGGGTCTATCCATCTTCAGTGCTATATTACAGACCTGACACGTCAGATGTGTATTGTTTATCTTCAGAATTAATTTGGATGAACACAAAACATCCCAGGTAATTGGATTGGAATGAATCATCCAGTCCAGTTCACCAGTGCACACAAACTCTTCAAATAATTCCAAGGAATAAAATTCTGCAGCTTTCCTAAGCAACAGCACAGCTGTTGTCCTAATAAGGAAGTTCTCTTAATGGCTATTTCAAAGTCTGCCTTCCTATAATTTAAACTCACTTCCTCATTTGTAGCAGTAGAGAATACATAGTATTTTAAATGTATGTCTTTTCTTGGGGCTAAAACAATTTGTTTCATTCAATGTTTTCCTTCTTTAAAATTCTATCATCTTTCAAATGAATTTCTGAATTTTCCAGTATTTTTCCATTTCTTCTTCAAAAAGGGTCAAATTTAAATAGTTGTAAAATTACAACAAATTCACAAAAATAGTTATAAAATTTACCTTAACCTGCATGTTAAGGTAAATCAATGGGGGGGGGGGACCAAAAGACAAAACCTCTCCCAGCCAGTGCAAAAACTGATGCAATAATATCTTATACAGTATAATATGGTACAATGCTTTATTGTGTAAAAAAGTTTTGGTCAATCTCTTGGAGAGATGTTGAAAAATTGAGTTATTTAACCATTTTTTTTAAAAAAGGGCTATTAGGTCAGTAGCTCGCAAGTAGGATGCTGCTGAAATACATTGGAAGCTGCCCATCCCCAATCCCCAAAATCTGATTTCATGTGGGTTAAATGGCACTAGCACGCAAGAGTTCATGCTGTCTCCTAGCTGATACTATATAAGGAAAGTAGACATGCAAAAAAGAAGAGATAATTCATTCACACTATACTGTGTTCCAGTCTTCTGGATTTAAATCTCAACAGGAGTCCAGCTTAGTCTATTTCAGGTATAGGGAGCTTATCTCAGGAGTAACCAGGAACAGGTAAGCTACCAGCTACAAATTTGATTTTGAGGACACAAGGGATCAAGAAAGGACAAAAGTTCTACCCAACAAAAGTTATGCATTTGTTTGCATGCCCCCCAAAAACAACAGAAACGTCTAAATAATTATTCAGCTATTTGATCACTACCTGGCCTTAGGACTTCAGAATATAATGTTTCATTTGGTCCATATGCTACAGTTTTATTTCATTCACTAGCAAAGTGCTGTAACAATTTACAACAAATACAGAGGAACAGAGGTGGAATGAACAATCTAAATGACCTGCTTTGAAATGATTTCTACCCTAAGGCCTCAGGGTTCCATTATCAAATGGATAGAGAATAAAAGATAACACAAATATCAAATGCATTATTACATATAAAGCCATAAAAGACTTCATGCTGCATGTCCCTACTAGCTCTGAGATCATAGAATGGAATCTCCTTCCATAATATGGTGCCCTCCATTCACGTTGAATTACATTCTTATATGGGAGTTATAGTCCAACACATCTGGGCAGGCAGAATGTGAGAGAGGGAATAAAAAGTCTTCATAGAGGTCATAGCTGGAGCATTTACTGCAACTAAAAATTCAATATAATGGCATGACAAAACAGCATTTTACAGTTTCCTTGCAGCTCATCTCGGGGAAACAGAACACCACATATGATAAAAATAACAGTGGCTACGTACTACTTTCAGGAAGAGAGAAGTGAAAGAGCTTTCAAAACTGAACTTTTCCCAAGCATTCAAGCCTGCAGCATTCCAAGCTATTACAAGACCTTCCAGTAGATACTATAATGGGCAATGTTTTCTGCTAACACAGAAAGAGATAGGCTAAATTCAAAACATGACAGGAAGGGCTTTCAGTGTTCTCTGGAAGACCTGGGCATTTCCTAAGGAAACAGAATAGAACTTCCCCTGGCAAGCAAATGTAAATACAGCTCACAGTCTTTTGACTATCAAATGGAGCTCTGCTCCTCCTCCTTCCTTAATGCAACTTGGAAATAATGAGCTCACTTGGAAAAATGCAAACAGTAATTCTGCTCTGAATCAGCATCTGAATAAGCATCCAGGCTAGTCTTATCTCCCTATTAGTAGCTGCCAAACTTTAACTCAAAACATAGCATGCTGTGACCCAGGAACAGAGCCATACCATACAAAGCTCTTTATTTCAGTGCCAACTTGCAATTAAGCATCACAGCTTTCACTTCAGGGCTGTTAACTGCCATCACATTACTTGATGTTACACTACATTTTTGGGTTGTACATGTGCAATGATGCTCTTAAACAAATCTGGGATCCCAAGACCAAACAAATGATTTGTCACCAAGAGCGTCTGAAGTAGTCTGAAGCAACTTAAGGTAGACTCTTCTGCCTCCTGTTGGCAATATGGCCCCCAAAATTGTGTTACTATGTTCAAAATCAATTTTTAACTACCAAAAAAAAAAAAAAAAAGGCAAGGCAAGGCATAGACTGAGATACAGCTTATGGAATATGTAATTACTTAAGACCATGTGTGGTTAAATTTTTTCAAAGGAAATGTGATTCTGACTGATACACTTCAACACAAGAAATATGAAGGTGTGAAAGACAAAGTGAAAGGAAATTAAGAATTATTCAGAATTTTACCAGTGAGCTGCTAAGGTATGTGACTTTCTAGAATCATATAGTAAATGTATGATTGAGCAGTGATTTTAAGCCCGGACCATTAGGCTTGTCCAATACATTATTATCAATGATTACATTAACTCTGTTATGATTACTCATGTACTAGGCTACAAAAGTTGAGAGATTTGTTGTGGTTGGAACAATACTATTCCCTTGTGTGACCACAGCAACAGATACACTCAGCTCTTAACCTGCTGAGCTGAATAGCTTGGGAAATCCTTTATCTTTACCAGAATCATTTATTATGGCAGCTGTTTGCAAAGCAGATTCTTTCTCTGCACTTTATGTTATTGTATTATATTCCTGTGCCACTGAACAGCAGGGTTCTTGTTAAAATCCAAGTTTATTTGCTTTATTAAAATGCAAGGACAAGCATTTCTTCTATGAAAACAAATGGTTGCCAGGAAGCAACCACCAGGAAGATCACAGAACCAGTATGAATGGGAGTCAGTTTTGTTGTAACTTTAACTCAGTGAATGGTTTTTGGAGGTTTTAACATCTTCCAAAACACAAAAGGAAAACTGCCCCAAAATTGCAGAGTAGATTTCTGCCCTCTTCAATATTAAGTTTTGCCTTTCATTTTATCTAAGGAAGGAAGATTTCTATATCAATGCTAAATCTTAATTGCAACACTACAGGAAATATTTTGAACAATTCTTATGTTCAAGCCCAGACTGTTAACTGATGTGGGTATACATAACTTTCCATGCCTTGGAATAGTGCAAATTTGCACCAGGAAGATACATGGCTCAAAACTCTATTCTTACATGCTATGGCTCATTTGTAAGCAAATATCTATTTAACCAGAAATGTCAGACAAGCACTTGATGTTCAACTCTGATTCCAATTATAGTTTGAAACTTGGAGCCTCCTAAAAACCCACCCCAAAGTTTTACTTTAAACAGACTAAAATGCCCCACACAAAGAATGTATAATACAGAACAGATGTCTGCATATTGTATAATTTCCTGCAGAAGGTTCCATCTTTTAATATGCTGGGCGTCACTTATCTTGCCACTGATTAAACTGAGCACTGATCCACTGTCTTTTAAGAGAAGTCTCACACTCAACCGTAATGTCATAATAGAATTCTCAAAAGGAAGTTAAAGAGGTTGAAGGTGACTACTGAGATAGAGCTATAAAGTATACTAAACAGTCTAACAAGATCTATCACTTCAGTATTTACTGAATACACTCAAAGCCCTGTGTAAAATCTGGTATTTAATCCAGTTTCCTGAGAATCCAAATTTCCATTACCTTAAAAAAAATCAGCTTCTAGTCCTTGCGACTACTGACAAGAAAACAGTACTTGCACACTGTTTGAGAGATTCTAGGTGGGTATTTTTTCTAAAATAGCAATGAATGCACAGGCTAATATTCTATTCATGGCCATTGCAAAACATTATTAACTGACCTGAGATACCCCTAAAAAAAAATTTGACTACAAAGTCACCTTTACTACTCACTTGCCCAGCCGTGGTACTTGGTATCTCTGATTGTACATGACGGACCAAATCCTCCACGGTTTCCAATTCCTGTTTATAGAAGCTTTGAATCTTTTTCCCCAACAGAAAGTCTCTTATTTTTCCACTCAGTATGGTGATAGAGCATAGTGCATCTGCAGGACCTTGTCTTCTATCAATACATAATAGTTCAAATTAGAAGATGCTGAAAGCTGACCAAAATAGGAAGATACTGAAATTAGGTATCTAAACCTTGTCTCTATCCAGTCAGGAATAGCTTGGTTTCAATAATCAGTGCTCTGGTAATTTCTAAATTCAGTTATTGCAGTGGACACACTATGTGAGGCTATCCCTAAAATAGTTCAGAAGTTGCAGATTGTGCAGAAGTGACAGCCAGATTAATAATCGGGACTCACAGGTCTGAGCACATAAAACCAGTTTTGGCCTGTTTATACTGGCTGCCTGCATGTTTCTGAGCCCAAATCAAGGTGCTCACTTTAACCTATAAAACCCCACATGGCTGGGAACCACAATACATAACACAACCTCTCCCAACCATATGCCTCTCCCAACCATAAGTGACCTGGACATTACGCTCAACATCTGGAGCCTTTCCCTGAGTTCCAGTTCTGAGGAGATGGCAATGTGAGAAAGAGCTTTGAGCAGCCCCCAGTGGCAGAATAGCCTTCCCACTGCAGCCCATCCAGCACAAACCTTGTCATCTTTTCAGTAGTAGATTAAGACAGACCTTTAAGCCAAAGCTTCTAAAGATATACTTGATTATCCAGGAGCTTCATGTGATTAACCTTTCCAGGTATTTTTATTTTACACAGATATTCTTTGCTGCATGCTTTTAGTAGTTTTTAATTGTTCATGTTTGCTTTGATAAGATGTTATGCCATTTTATTGTATGTTATTGTATTGCTTTTACGTATGCCATAAAGGACCCGGCAGAGAAATGAAAGTGATTATAACCATAGAGCTGGATAAGCACAGCAGACATAGCAACTGCAGATGCCATTTACCCCCTCTATTTATTTCCATGGGGAATGGAGGCTGCAGCAGGGATCACGAGCCATATGTTGCCTCCACTGGTGCATATATACCATAATTTATAAGATTCACTGTACTAAATTTCTTTGATAGTTGAGGGTTTGTTTTTTTAATATGCCTTCTACTAAAGCCTTCAAAAATGTGACTCTGAATAGGTTCTGGCTGGGCACTCCCAAGCTATTGCTTTATCTACTATGGACACATCACCTGTATTTCTTCCCTATCATACTCTCATCCCTGCCTTTAATTTATCCTCCTCTTCATAGCTTCTTCATCATACTAATTGTTTCCATATCAGGCAGTGTTAAGGGCCTATGTTTTACTGTCTCCAACATGGATTCCATACTTCACTGCCTTAGACCATACTTTTAATGTAAAAGAACTCTCCCCAGTCTGACAGATTTGACTACCACTCAAGTACTCCCCAACCAACTAGAGGGTGCCAGGCTGGGGAAGCCTGAGCAAAATATATCCTCTCAGGTTATTTGTATTTCACATCATTAGTTCATACTGACCTCTGTGCCTCTTCCTGGAAGTGAAATGGCTTATCATAAATATCTCTATACAAATGGGGGAGTTTTAGCATCCTTGAAATCTGAACTTCAAACATAGGATCATTAATTTTATCTGGAAAAGATATGAGCAAAGGTCAAAAAACTACAAACATATAAAAACTTCAGCTTTTAAATATAGTATTTGTTATATTTAAGGTAAGAGTAAAAATTAGATTATTCACAATTGCAGAATATCAGGGACTACTCTGACCGGGTTTGTAATTAACATGGTAATTAAATATAGCGTTTGTTATGTTATGGGGATGCAGACAGCTTCTGTAGGGCAACTTATTTTTCCTCAAAAAGAAACCCTGAAAACCTATGGCTTGTTTAGAGACTGTTTGACCCACAATGGGTTGTCAAATTGCCTGATTCAGAACAAGCAGCCACATCACAGGTAGCAGGAAGCAGCAAATGAGCTGCTTGTCAAGAGCAGCAAAAAGCCTTTGCCATTCTTATTGAGTCTCCTTAGGCCGCTGCCAGTGACAACTGACTCTCCAAGAAGCATTTTGGAACAGATGTCATTGTCTTCCTCTCCCCCACCATGAACATGACCCTTTTCGCTGTCACTGCAGCTTTTCACCTTTTTGAAGATTACTTTCCACAAACTCAGAAATAGCAACCACTTCAAAGTGCTTAAGTGACACATAACTGCACCCCTCACTGGTTTGCCAATTTTTAATGTTTCTACTCTTTTAAAAAAGTTGCACAGGAAATATTTGTGCACTCTTTAATTATTGAGAGGACAGTAGTTTGCAGTTGGGTGAGTACAAAACTCTGATCCAAAATCTGAACCCTTGCCTGATCAGTGTCCTGCTGCCAAAGAAGGCAACATCCATGGCCACTAACAAAGCAAAACTTGAGACATGTTAATTTGCTTTAATATGACAGCTGTCAAATGGCAAGCTCTCAGGCACAAAGCAAAGAGGAGACACTCTCTTATTTATAAAACATGGTGGCAACTATTTCACCCCTTCCCAGCAAATTCCTTCAGTTTTTAAGTTACAGCCTAACAGTTCTCAGTGACCTTCAAGTTTTCCAACTTTTCCTGGACCTTTAAGGTCTCAGGAAAATGGGAAAATGCTGCCCACCCTATTTACAGGAGCATTTTTGACAGCTATCAAAACTAAAGATTTGAAACAGGGGTTTTGACAAAGCTAAACATGGTTTTTTGACAGGAACATGTACAGATTTTACAATTACATAAATAAAAAGGTGGCAAACCAGTGAGAGCCACTTCAAGTACTTTAGACAATTTGGAGGAACTGTCAGGTTACTATTATGGGAACTTGAATGGTTGGGATAAAAATGCACACTACTGAAAGAGTAATGCTCACAATACATGAAGGCCTTGATTTCTCTCTGCTGCCTGTAGATTCGAATGCAACCACGAACTCTGACTAGATCACCGATTTCTAGCCTTGTTTTTTGCTGAACTGCTACTTGCATCTTCCTTATCTGTTCAATTAGATCCAACGCACCTGAAGTACTTGAATGTGATTCAAAATCTGTAGAGAAGTAAGTAAGTCTTACATATTGCTCCTTTATTAACAACGATATTTGGAATGGGAAAGCTAAATGGATATTTTAATATGACAGATGCTGCTCAACAAATCAAGGATGATAAAGGCAAGTTCACATGTAATATGGAACACAACTCTATTTTGTCAACTTACAAAGTGCCCCCTTCCAAGCATCCTGTAAATATAACTTTGGGCAGCTAATGGAAGAATATACAACAGTTAGTTGAGATAGGGAATAAGAGGAGATACTGCAAGTCTTCTTGACTATGGCTATGATCTGACAAAATGAGACATTATTACAAACTTACGTAGAAAGCAGCTATTGTGTGAGAGTTGCTTCATTAGCCATTAAACCTCAATAATTTAGATTCTACCCCTATATTTTCTGAAATCTGTTCTAGTTGCTTTAAGAATAAAATAGGCACTTCTCCTGTCTTGAGCCCCAATCACTGGATATAGGTGGAATATAAATAAATATATTAATATCTTCTTGTAAGAATGATCTTTTTAAAAGTAAACATCCTCAACATTGTGTATTTCGTTAGCTATGATAACATATTCTAAAACTCAAGTCTTATTACTGCATGAGTACTATAAGACTATCTAAACATTTAATCAGCAGTTGACAGTATATTCAAACATATTTTGTTAAATTCATCTGATTGTAGAATGCAAGGCATCTGTTTTCAGGAAGTGTTAATTTTCATTTTCCCCAGTGCTAAAATGCATCTCCTTCATCACACTGGACCCATGTGTATTTACCATCCAACACTGTTTCTGTCCCTAACTGTTTCATGTATTTGATGAAAGGACCCTTGCTTGCAGTATGTCAAGACACAATACATGCAGTATTTTTAAAGTGCATTTTATTTTTAAAGGTAATAAAATAAAATTTTATTTTATTTACATGCAGTGTATTTTTAAAGGATTCTATTTATTCTTCTTTTGTTTCATGCTACTTTCCTGCAACCCAGAATTAAACAAAAAGAACCCAAAATAAAAATCCTCCACAAACCTCACACTTAAACAAAAACATCCTTGATATGAAAACAAAACAAAAGCTGACTCTTGGTGCCTGACAATCTATAAAAACACTTTGACAGAACTTTATGCTTATTAGGTCAGTATTTAAAATTCAGTTTTTGATCTCGTGCAATATGCTCCTTAATTGTAGCTGCCTAGAAGAACTGCTTGCCTGAATGAATTCTTGGAGCAAGCAGGCTACTAAATATTCCATGTTTCCAATTATTCATTAGATTTTAGAGCTAAGCCACTGTGACTTCTGCATTAAACATTATCATTTTTTTCTGGTCTTACAGAATGAAATTTTGAGATGCAAGCTTTTAATAGACTGTTTAGATTTAGGTATAACAATCCGATCCCAACCATGTATTAATAAAGGTTTTCCCAGTTAATGCTGTGTATCAATAGAAAGTACACTGCAACATTTCCTTAAACACTGCCATTATTTTCTCCACATTGAAAGCAGACAAGGAAACAATGAACAGGAGTAAAAATCATACCAGAAGGAAGTGGTCCAAGAATAGAAATAGGAAAGTCTAGTGAGTTCAGAACAGCCAACCCACAAGACAAAGATTATCTGTGTGATTATGTGCTAGCACATTAAAAATGACTTTTGTGGCCACCATAACCTCTTAAAGGTAGGAAAAGAAAATAACTGGCCATGTTCTGTTATAGGTATTTGCAGATAAAAGAAATTCATCTGCACAGAAGCATCAAAAATATATAATTTATTTCCTTTTCTATCACTTGGCCAAAGTTACTTTTACAATTTATGAATATGTACTTTATCACTTGTAATAATGTATTTCAAAATCTAAATATATTTCCAAGTGTTCAAATTGGGACACAAAATGTAGAAGATAAAAATACAGCAAACACACCATGCAAATGGGAAAATATGCAAAGAGATGCCACAAGGTGCTACATTCAAGAGAGTCTAGCAGGTCTCAGATCATTTTTATAGGATAGGAAGAATGCTGTTTATCCCCAACCCCCACCCCCCGAAAAAGCCACATATTCTTCAGAGCTTTCCCTCACCAAAGTGGAGAAAATACATTAGGCGTTGCAAGAAGAAGGTGCTTTGGGCAGATAATCGTCAGCGAGGTAGGTATTAGCAGTGTGTGAAGGGATTTCAGCTCTGTTCCTTCTCTCACATTAAGTTAGGACAATGTGTGTAAAGCAAAAGGGAAAACAGTACAAGCATCCGAAAACAACGCCAACAATAGTATAGACTAATAAATACATCTGAGAGTTACCTGACAAAGATTTCTTTTCTGTCAATGTGTTCTTCCAGCACATACAACTTATTACGCCTGTGCCATCATCCACTAGAAGACAAGAAAACAACTTAAGTCGTTTTGGTTAAAGTTCACTTTTCCACAATAACAAGATAGAAACTGCTCATTGTACTAAGTCACAAACATTTTTGCTCAGCAGTAGAATTATTCTTTTTACCTAAGAGAACAAAACACTTCTCAAAAGACAAAACATCTTTCCTCTCTCTTCCCATTTCTCTGATCCTATTGCAGCAAATTGACATTGGAAATGGCTGACCAAGCCTACACATCCAAGTGGATGACTCAGAGAATAGCTTGTCCAACATTTTTCTTGCAGCCTTTGCCTGGCTGATGATAAACTGTCTGCATAACAGATGTGGGAAGACTATCAGAAAGCCTGTTTGGCTTTCATGACAGTCTGCCATTTTCACATGGCACTCAACTTGTGTCATGTGAACCCAGATAACAAGAGTTCTTTGAAAATCAGACAAAGTTCAAACAACCCTACAACAAGCTAATAAGTTGTCTAACCCTCAAACAATCCCAGCTGCCTGGGTTTGCATAGCACAACAAACCACAGGAAGCAAGGCATTTGTGAACAAATTTGGACTACTGTAATGTATTTTACATGGGATTGCCCTGGAAAATGGTCTGGCCATTGCAATTGGTACAAAACAGAGCTGCCAGGTTATTGACTAGTACCAGCAGACATGAGCAAATAACATTAGTCTTATTTTAGTTACACTGGCTATTGATTGAAGTCCGGGCCTGCTGACCTCGATGTCTTCTGATATCTCAAATATACGTCAATGTATTCTAACAGTTTTTTTCTTATTAACAGTGCTCCTCATACCATGCCTTCTGTTCCATTATCTTCAGAAACAATCATTACATAGCTATCCCTTTTGTGAAATATTTGACACTTATCATACCTCCCAAGATAGACACAAGAATTGTTTTCATTTGATACACAAACCATCTAGTATTAACTGCAGTCTGAATAGCGATTACAGAGGAAGAACGGATGACACCAGGAAAGACATCAGCCTTGATATCCAACTGCCAACTTTGGGCTGCCTCTTGAACCAGATGTTCACAAGGAGCTAGGTAACCCTAATTTCTGTGAAAGCATCTGAGTCACATTCAGACTGGAGGCACTGTTGACCTACATTCTTGTCATTCTCCTGTGTTTTCAAATCAGTTACTGTCTCCTTTCAGCAACAAGATACTCAGCCTGATGAAACAAAGTTCAATAGCAAGTTGTCATTTTATTGTTAAAACCTTGCAAAAGCAATCCTATTTTGAAAAGAACATAAACATTATGATGAATAAATCCAAGATTCTCCATGGAGAAGCAAGAAAGAAATCTGTGTACTTTCCCTTTACAATTTATCTCCAAACAGAGAAGAGTATCACAGCTCATCAGGCTTGGGCACTGGATCTACCTAATCACCTTTGCACCTAGCAAAGCCATACTTTTAAACTAAAAGGTAGAAGTAGAAATTAAAAGTGATATGAAGCAATTTGGTCTTGCTTTCCCTTCAAGAAAAACAATATAACATCGGTGTCTGTGCATTAGCTGGTGGTAGAGGGAGAAATGGCCAGAAATAGATAGGGAGAAAGTTTGAAGGGCAGTCGCCCTTCAGAGCAAAGAACCAGTGTCCAAGGCTGAATCAGTGAGAACAATGAGTATTTCTGGCAGGCATGGAAAATCACACACCCAACTCCCCACTCTCTGCTTTAAATCAGCTAAAAGACCTGGAATCCTGGGTAAAAGGCGGAACAAGCATGCAGCTTCTTCATTTCATGTAAAGCATAGTGGCTGCACTTGCCTCCTTATTTACCCTAAGTCATCAAAGAAGCCCCAGAACCTAATACTAGCAGACTGCCTTTCAGTTTCAGGGGGTCACAAGCTTCTCCCTTGAACCCCATAATCTTCAATGTTCATAATCTTCATGAAACTGCTTCCAGGCTGTTGAGCTGCAATATGCTGACAATACCCAGGTCTGCCTCTTTTTTCCATCATCTAACGTTGGGGAGACTGTAGAAAATCTAAACAGGTAATTGGGATCAGTTTTCCAATAAACTGAGATGAATAAACTGATAGTTAATCTAGATGTCAAGTATTAGCTGTGTCAGTGATGGTGTCTACCAGGGACAGAAGGAAGCAAGGTGCAGAGCAAAGAAAGGAAGCTCACCTGCTCAAGTTCCCAATGTCTTCAGCTAATTATCTGAAGGATTGGGGGGGGGGGCTATAATGGAAGTGTGCAGTAATCCCTTCCTTAATTTAATAATGTAATATAATTCCTTGAATTATATAGAAACAGAGCGAGTAAGGAGGGGTCTCCTGGGCCATCTAGTCTGACCCCAGGCTCCAGCCAGCTCCACTCACGACATGCCCACCATGGGCATGTCCAGCATATCTTTGAACACCCTCACCAATGGGGCCTCAACCACGTCCTGTGGAAGCCCATTTCATACCCTTGGGGTCCTAACTGTAAGGACGTGTTTCCTGGCATCCAAATTGAACCTTGGTTCCTGAGCTTTGCTCCAATGGAGCACTTCCTGCCTTCCTCTGCAGGGGAGAACAGATCTCTACCCACCTCCATGTGACATCCCCTCACATACTTGTTTGTTGCCAATATATCCCCTCTGAGTCTCCTCTTCTCCAGGCTGAAGAGACCCAGTTCCCTCAGTCTCGCCTCATACAGCACCCCCTGCAAACCAGCCACCAACCTTATGGCCTTAAACTGCACTGACTCTAACCTGGCTATATCCTTCCTGTAATGAGGGGCCCAAAACTGAACACAATACTCCAGTTGCAGGCGCACCAGAGTCGTATAAAGTGGTAGTAATACCTCAGTCAATCTAGAAGCCACACTTCTGGCTATGCAACCAAGGGTGGCATTCACCCTCTTAAACACCGCATCACACTGATGACACATGTTTAGTTTGCAGTCAACCAGCACCCTGAGGTCCCTTTCACAAATGCTGTTCTCCAGCCACTTGTCCCCTAACCTGTACTTATGACATCTATTCCTATGCCCCAAGTGCAAGACCTTGCACTTATCCACACTGAACATCATCCTGTTGTCTCCTGCCCACTTCCATAGTCTGTCCAGATCCTTTTGGATCTGGAGTACCTGCTCCTCCGTTGTGGCCACTGCTCCAGTTTTAGTATCATCTGCAAATTTGATCAGCAGACTGTTCACCCCTTCTTCCATGTCATTGATGAAAAGATTAAACAGGGTCGGCCCCAGGGGGACTCTGCTTGTCCCTGGCTACCATCCCGATGATTCCCCACTAATGGTTACCTTCTGCTTTCGGTCAGTCAGCCATGCCCTAATCCACCGGACAGTGCTTTGATGTATCCCAAAACTCCTCAGTTTCTCAACCAGGATATCATGGGACACTTTGTCAAAGGTCTTGCTGAATTCAGGTAAACCACATCCACTGCATCCCCTCCATCCAGCCATCTCAAAACCTTGTCATAGAATTCCACAAGGTTTGTCTGGCAGGACCTGTTTTTGCAGAAGCTGTGTTGTGTGGCTGCCAGCCTCCCTTCCCTATCTAGCATCACAAGATTTCCCTCTATTATGAGCCTTTCCATTGTTTTTCCTACAATGGACGTAAGGCTAACTGGTCTGTAATTCCCCATGTCCCTTCTACTACCCTTTTTGAAAACTGGGACCACTGATGCCACCCTCCTGTCCTCTGGAACTTCACCCGTTCTCCACGAGGCCTCAAAAATGGAGGCCAGCGGGCATGAGAGAACCCCTGCCAACTCTATAAGGATGTCATCTCCCCTTCTGCTTGCTAGAACTCCACCTCTCCCATGCCCTAGTATACAATGCTCAGGTACATAGCTGATGGTTCCAAACCTGAACTCTCTTAAATTCTTAGGAGCACAGAACCTGCCTCATACTAGGTCAGGCTATTTGTCCACTCTGACTGGCAGCAGTTGAGTCCATTCTATTCTTACCAGCAGTTGCTTTTTATTTACTGCTCTTTCAAAAACTACTTCAGGAGATTTTAATTTGTATTGAATATATGGTATCTGCTTTGCTACTAAGTGGCTGGCCGTCCCCTTACTGTTAAATAATGTTTAAGAAAGAGATGCCCAATCAAGCACACTATGGATGTTTTGAAATACAAATCTTAGCAACCCCAGTTAGCATGACAAATGATTCTGGGAGATTAGACTAACCATAAACACTGAAGCAGAGAACATACAGAAACACCTAGCCCAGTCTAATGTTTCAGACAGTAATGCTTCCCTCTAATGTTCCTCTGAAAATCAAAAGCTTGCTTGCATGTTGGTGTGTATGTGCAAATAAGTGTTCAGAGAAGGAAGCGAAATGATTCAAGTGACCTTTTAGAAAGATGTCTGACTCTTAGTCAGTATACATGTATTCCTAGAGAAGTTAAAATCGTGCTTCTGTTTCTCTATTTAGTACTTTTTTGTAAAGGTAACTGGCTGAAATGGAACTAGAAAAATCCAGAATTCGGACAGGGATAATAAAATTACAATCTATGTGTTGTACAGAGGAAGCTCTTCTACACCTCACTTTCATCAGAGTGCCTTCCACATAACTTGACTATCTTTCTATATTGGCAAACATGTGGCTAGTACAAGGTTGAGCACAAGGTCAATACATGTGACGGAACTGCAATATATCAAGCTCTAGATACCAATTTTGATATATTCCCAGAGAGAAGCCCACATGAATATACATAAGCTATTAAGGCTATAATATGCCAACTTTCAGGGAAGTAAGTTCACTTTACTCAATGGAATGTACTTCTGAGTAGACGTACAAAGGACTGCACTATAGTTTGTTGAGCATTTACAAATAAGCTTGGGTGATTTACAAATACATACTAATATTCACATGTCTTTGCAGAATACATTGGACATACATTCATGCTATTCATTATTAAAAAGCATTTTCTTTCTCTTCCACCTTTTTTTAAAATAATACACAAGTTTTCCAATCAAGCATGGAGGCTTCAATGTCAGGATACTAGTGGCTACCTAGAATGGAAAGAGAAAAAAGCTAGCAGGAATCTGAACTTCTTACCTCCATAAATATAAAATGATTCTTGCTCTTTGGTGAGAACCACAGTTCCAAGAATATCAACCTGCCTTATTGGATGTTGATTATAAAAGAATATACCTAAGAAGAGGGAAAAACATGTTTTTAGATTTACCTATATGAAATCCTGTATTTTAGAAACCTTCTTGTACCACCAACATGCTTACTACCTGTTAGCTAATAGTAACCTTCAACAACCAGGCCACAAGGTTATTGTTTCACAATTTGAGCAGACAGTATCACCACTAATGTTAATGCTTGAGCATGGACTGCTTTATTTTCCCAGTACTATAATCAAACTTGGGCTTGCATTCATTTGCTGCCATTTAGAGATTTACCATGTTCAGAGAACCATGCTCAGTTTACTTATCCTTGCTTCCAGTCTCAACCAAATAACTGACACTTGTTGAATTTGCTCAACTTGACCTGCCGCTGCTCCAACACCCCCCCCCCCCCCCCCGGCAAGGCCTTGCAGCCTCAACAAAGTCCATCAGGGCTGAGTGTCTGCACCTGGCCTGGCCAGTCCACCAGATCTCCTTAACATAAAAGCAGACCTGCTGTTGGGTGGCAGTCCAGCAGGGGCATCCCCAAAGCAGGTGTGTCCCTTTGGGATGCCACAAAGGTGAAAGTGCCTTTCTGGCTAGCCCTCACCACCCCCCATGCCTTTGTGGACCTATGCCTGGGACCATGGCTGAGAGGGCATCTATGCATCCAACTGGGAAGACAATGGGAATCCCAATTAGTGTAGTGATGGGTTGAGGGAGATATGGTGCTGGAAGGAGGCCTGGCCAGGTAAGGGGAATGTGGCTCAGAAAGCTAATGGCTGTATCATGTTCTGGGTCCTCTCCATACCTCTGGTTGGGCTTGATGGTTGCCATGTCAGTCAGTCCTCAGGTCATCAGATCAGTACAGAATAAAATCTACTTTATCCATAATCTAATCATAGATGTGACAACCGATCTGACATGTATAACTCAGATCTGGGTGGGTGAACAAGGAGGAATTAATCTTTCCCAGTGGTGCCCACCTGGCTACTTGGTATAGCATCAAGGTAGACATGATGGCTGTGGGGAAGGGGGTTGCCATAGAAGGAGAGATAGGAATTCCATCTCTCTCTCTCTCTCTCTCTCTCTCTCTCCAGGCACCTTGGACGACTAGCCTGGAGTCTTTGCACCTTGTGTTGGGCCAGTGGGACAGGTTGGGGATTCTGCTGGTGTACCGCCCACCCTGCAATTCATCAGTCTCCCAACATGAGCTGACAGAGTAGGTCTCAGATGTGATGTTGGAGTCCCTCAGGCTGTTGGTCCTGGGAGGAATTCAATATTCATGCTAAGGGCACCCTATCTGGGGTGGCTCAGGATTTCATGGTTACCATGACAACCATGGGATTCTGTCAACATATCTTTGGGCCAATGCATATGCTGGCACATATTCTAGACTTGGTCTTCTTGGCCAATTTTGAGGATGATGTTCTGAGTGTGAGAAGTCTCTTGAATTTGGCTTTAAGTTTGGTCAGAAACAAAATACAAATTTATAGTTACAAATAGATGGTTGTGTCACTCTCTCATCTGGCTTGCATCTCAGTAGCCATGCATATAATGTTTTAATTCGCCCCATGGTGAATGTTCCCCACATGGCAAATTATTTGTACGCACAAGCTCATAAGGATTGATGTGGCAGCTGTTCCTATACAGCAGCTGCTACATATTCACCAGCCTTCACACTTGCCAGAACAGAGCCTATTCAGATGGTGGAAGTTTTACTCCAGTAACTGGTATTAAGCAAGCTTCAGCCGTGTGGTAGTACAGAAAGGAAATAAAAAGTTTGCCTTTACTAAAGCTGTTTCCACTGCTCATTGCCAATCATCTTATTCAGAAGAGAACTAGCTTGGATGAAAACTTAAGTGCCAGTTTTTGTTCTATGTTTGTATTAAGGGGGTTTTTTTTTGTGCTTGGTTGTGTTTTTTGTCTAGTCTGATCTACCTTAGGTTTTATGCTCTAGGGAGCAAAGCCCCAAGTCTCATTTTTCATGAGTAATAAAAATCAATCAGAAGATCAGTCCTAGGCTTCCTGGGGGAAAAATTGGGTGGCATTAGCTAAGAGAGAAAATCAGAGAAAGCATATTGCTTCCAATGACATTTGAAAGGAAAAAATAAGGTGGGATGCATGGCAACACACAGAAACCAGTACCTGAATAAAAGGCAGGTTAAAGAGTGATTTTTCCTTTTTCTTTCCTATTTTGTAATGTGGCAGCTAGGAAGCATCACTGTAAAAACACCTATGTTACTTTCACTATTACAGAGCATTGCTTGACGTATCAGCATGTCCTTTCACAAATCAGTCAATAAATCCCACTCTTGGCTTTATCAAAACTGTGGCACTCTTGCTTGTTCGGCAAACTACGTTTTACTTAAACACTTCCAGGTCTGTCTTAGTTAATCTACACATGCTTTGTTCTGAACTTTCTTCAGGACTTGCTACAGAGGTGGACTTGCTACAGAGGTGAAACCGACAAAAACCGACAGAGAGGTCCGCCTGGCGCCGTCGTTATTTGTTTTTCGGCGCCAGGCGAAGACCTTTTTATTTAAGCAGTATTTTAAATGTTAATATTATTGAATTTTATTTGGCCAGGGCGGCTTGTTTTATAGTGTATGTTTTATATTATATATTTGTATTTTATTGTATATATTTTAAAATGTTATTTTAATTTTTTGTTGTAAGCCGCCCCGAGGCTTCGGCGAATGGGGCGGCATAAAAATGTTTTAATAAATAAATAAATAAATAAATAAATAAATAAATAAATAAATAAATAAATATTTCTCCAGACTAGAGATTCCTAACCTTGGGTCTCCTGGTATAGCTGGATTATAACTCCCATCTGTTCAGTTAGGCTTCCTTCCTGTTTTCAACTCAAACAGGCAAATGAGATGGCAGACAGAAGCCAGAGGACACCAAAATGAGTTGGATTCATGCTTCATATACTCTGGGAGAAGCAGGTAGGAACATATGAGAATGTTCCTCTCATCTTCTTTTGACCTATCTTATACTGCCTTTGAGCTTCTTTTAAGGAACACTGCAAGAGAGAACTGACATCTGGAGTTAGACTGTCAACCAACACAGTTTAGTAATGCTAGGTTTTTCATTAAAACCAGTGGTGATATTATGCATTTCACAGAAATCTTATCACTTACCTGGAACCTGTTTAGACTCTTTCATTTCTAGTATGTCTTTAATGTACAATCTTGCAAAGGCTGAAAAGATAGGATCCAAGCCCCATAATAATGAAGGGACCTCTCCATCCAATTCTGTGGCTCCTGCGATCATTCAGAAATGAATGCTTTATCTTCAAGACGATGGATGAATCCACCACAAGCAGAAGTTCTGTTTGCAAGACTAGGAGAGAAAGAATCAAAGACAACATAAAATCTCAAAATATGACAATATCTTAATTGTACTCCACTGAAGTATTTGAAAATCATCATAGCACTTGAATGAAATGGCTAGTAGCCAGCAGCAATATGTAATCACTTACTTTGCTAAAACTAAAGAGAAACTCTATCCCAGAGAAATAATAATGAACACAAAGAATCAAGTCGGGGGGGGGGGGGAGCTTAATCATAAAGCATATGTAAAATGTATTTTGAGGGGCATATTACTAAGAACATTAAGACTTCTTTGTATGTCTCTCCTGTATGCTCTCTTCTACATGACAGCCACTAAGAGTGGGGCCTTTTCTGAGTGGAATCCTCCTTCTAGGCCCTACCTAATGAGATCTATCAGACCCCACTACTTCAAGTAGCTGGTAAAAAAATAGGCATTTAAGTAGTATTTTGGCATAGATTCGGCAGGGATATTTTTAAAGTTGTATCTTATCCATCCTGCAGTGTTAACAATGATCTCTCATAGCTACTACTTTATGATTATTGCTAGTTATATATCTTTAAATACTTTATTGTATTTGCTTTGTAAGCTGCCTTGAATCTGTTCCTTGGAAAAAGATGAGCTATAATCTTTTAACAAATAAGATTAACAAGAAGAAATTCTAATTATGTCAGAAACAAGAAACTGGCTAGGGAGACAAATGGAACATTAGACTAACAACATTATTTTCATTCATTTTCCTTGCAAAAATATTGTAGGACAGGATCCCACAGTTCTGAGGACACTGAGTTGATTTTTTCCCAAGCCTTTTTTTTTTTTTTTTGGAAGGATGTATAAAGAACTGAGTTATACATAGGTGTCAAGAGGTAAAATGACACAGCTTATCAACAAATTAAAAATTAACAAGTCACTAGATTGAGATGGCATTCACAAGAGAGCATAAAGAACTGAAATGTAATAGTACTGATCTTCCCGCAAATATATGCAATTGTTCCTGTGTCAGGGATTTTTTAAAGCAGCTAAACTGACTCTCAAAGTTTCTAGCAAGCACCCAGGTATCTAGAGACCAGTTAGCTTCACTTCTGGGTAATGGGTGAACACTGTAAAGGGAAAAATCAACCATTCAAAAGAACAATATACAGAAGAATCAGCATGGTTGCAAAGGGAAGTCGCTTTGCAATTCTTTGAGAACAAACATGTAGATAGAGCAACTCTGGTATAATCAAGCCTAACAATCTAATATAGTATATGTGGCTAAGAAAATGGATGTTAAAAAGTCTGAGTTCAGCAAGGAGGATCAGTCATAAGATATGGCATTTAGGCAAGGACTAATCACTACATGTTTTGCATGCCATCATCCAAAATCATACATAAGGTTATAGTTACTCTTCCCTGCTGACATTTTACCATTAGTAGCAATTAGGAACACAATGTCAGTTATAATGACTAGTTTCATTCCCTTCAGGTCTCCCCTTAATTAAGTTATCCCCTGGCATGCTCTGCATGTGTTGCACAATCTTCCTGACCCACTGGAAGATCAGGCATTGTTTGCTTTCTTTTCTAATAAAAGATCTGCAGCTGCTGCAGCAAGAAATCAGAACACATACCTTTAACAAAGCAGACTTACTTAGAAAATCTTTCCCATTTCAGAGTTTGGAGATCTTATGCAGTTTTGACCAATTTGAGATACTAGTGCCATATAAAGATGCATGTGTTTACCTGTTTTGCATGAGTGGCCAACCCCTCACAGATAATTAGACATAGTGGCTCACTGTGTTGTGCAGACCACTTTCTGGATATTTGGGGCAATAAGCCATCCTGGCAACCCATGATTTATTCCAGGGGTTGTTCAGTCCATAACGGTTTTCCATGTTGTCCAAAAATAAGAAAACCATTTTACTTTTTAGGGCCTCAAGAGTTAACTCAATACTCTGAATTGGGCTCAGAAACAGAGCAGATCGCAAAACACTGCTGCAATACAATCATATCTACCATTCCTATTGTTGGGTAAATACACCATCTGGTTCTTCTCCTGTCAATTTAGTTGTTTCAACAGGGAAGAATAGATGCAACATAGGCACAAACAGAATTTTATTAACAGGCTTCAGCTGAAGGGTGGTAACACTCTGGCTCATGCCACAAAGCAGTAGAGCAAGTTTTTATTCAGCAATAGCTGGTTTCAGTTACCACCCTTCTGCGGTTAATTGTTAGCCTATTCCTAATGCTGCCAATTTGGTGGTATCATTTTTTCCCTTACCCACCTTGCTGGGTTGGAGATGCACACATACCTGTTCATCACAGATGACAACAGTGGAAAGATTGCAAACTACTTGGAGACTTTGCTGAATCTTTATGGCAGCAAATGTGTGACACACCATTTGAACTAATAAAGGCTAAAAAACCCTGTAAATGCTGAAAAACATAAGCTGCTTTGGAAGAACTTGGAGGTACTTACAAAGCAATAGAAAGATAAAGAAAAAGGCACTTGTGACTTTGACCTTAGAAAGATTACGGGCTATGCAAGGCAGTAAGCTGCATGTCTGTTCAAGTACTTCATTATCAAATTGACATAAATGTGGTATCTTTCCATTGCTAATCAATATAAAATGTGCATCTGGAATGCTTTTATGGAAGGGAAGAGGAAACTACAAATTTCAGCACATTCCACATCTCTCTACTGCTTTATCTCCTGATTTTCCCTCCCTTCCTTCCTATTCCAGCTCTGATGAGGAAATAATTTGTGGTGCGCTACACTGGATTGGCAGATATGGATGTTTGTTTGTGATGCTGAAATAGTCTCAAATAGTCAGGAAATGTATGACATGGAATAGAAGGAAAGTCTAGGATTACTATAAAAATCCTTTGATTACCTATCAATTTATAAATTTAATTCTAATGCCTTTTTATCAACTATCCTAATAGAAGGCCAAAGCAGGGAACAGCGACTGGAATGAACAGCAGAAATGTAGGTGGATGATATATTTAATCCAGACCTTTAAATAGTCTGTGGAATTTGCTAAGGTTGAAGGAGGGGTGAATATTTAACCTTGCTAACAGAATGCTGTGGAAAGCAAGGCTGGGTTTTGTTTTGTTTTAAATTTTAGACAACAGCTATCATGAATATTGTGATTATTTGTCTTACTGGTTGCATAAAAATGCCATAACAGTTTTCAGGTATACTTTTGCTAATATTTGTTAAATTTAGAGTATTTATTTATTTATCAAATTATATCCTGCCTTTTTCCTACAAAGGGCTCAAGGCAGCTTACATCTCCTTCTCCATCTTATCCCAACAACAACCCTGTGAGGTAGGTTTGGCTGAGAGGTAGGTTGGGCTGAGAGTCTGTGACTGGCCCAAAGTCACCCAGTTGGTTCCATGGCTGAGCAGGGACTAGCACCCAGATTGTCTGAGTCCCAGTCCCATGCTCTTAACCACTACACCACACTGGCTCTCCAGAGTAGTTTGTATTCCAGAAATGTAACATACACTTTAATATTTTGAACAGCTAGAGGAGGCTTTTCAGTAAGGTGCTATTCAGATGCTGTGGGAGTCAATTTTTGTCATCCCTAACTAGCATGGCAGTGAAGTTGTAATCCAAAATGTGTTGAATGCAGCAGGCTAAGGCAGAACTAAATCTCAAATAGTTTATTTCCTACTGTCTTTCTCATGAAAAAAGAACCAGTGTCACCTAAACAATACACAGAAAACAGAAGCAAATTAAAAACATGCAATCAAGAACGTGAAAAAATTTGAACAATCAATCTTGAGGCAATTAGCAAGATTAGAAGAGCCTCCACAGGATGTGATAAATTGGAGAAAAGGAAACAGGAACTCTGATTAGGAAATTGGGAAAAAAGATTAATGCAGGCCTGCTTAGAAGGGTGAACAAATACATGACATACGTTTTAAGAAGAAACACATGGTTTCTAGGAAAATAAAATAAAACATAGTAGTGAGAGTAAATTTAAGATGGGAACTAAGAGAAGTGGTTAAGTGGAAGGACTGAAAACGAAACTAAAGGATCACAAGAATGGTAGCTGGGTTGGGAGGGATGAAGAAAGAGGACAGATTGAGGGAACTTGGTATTTTCAGCCTGGGGAAGTGAAGATTCCAAGGTGATCTTTTAGCAACATATAGGTATGTGAGGGGATGTCATGTGAAGGAGGCCATGAGCTGTTTTTCCCTGCAGTAGAGAGCAGGACACCTTCCAATGGGGCAAAGCTCAAGGAACCAGGCTTCAGGTTGGATGTCAGGAAGTACTTCCTGATGGTTAGGACCGCTAGGATATGGAATGGGCTTCCAAGGGAGGTGATTGAGGTCCCATCAGTGAGGGTGTTCAAGGAAAGATTGGACACCCACGTAAGTGAAGCCAGCTGGAGCTAGGGGTCAGACTAGATGGCCCAGGAGACCCCTTGTGACTCTATTTTTAAGATACGTTTCAATGTTCTATGTTTCTAAAATCAGAAATTAAGAAAGGAACAAAAATATTAAACAGTAATAAGTGGACATGAAGGGTTTCATGGGGCAGGAGAAGTAATTTTACAATGTTATATATAACTAAAATTTAATTTTGAAAAATCTGATGTCCCTGCTGTGATTTTCCAAAGCAGACAGTGACATTTATCTCTACTAAGACAACAGATTCAGAACAGCTAAAACCACTGGAATAAAAAGCTGTAGTCACAAGTTTGTGCAACAAATTTAGTATAAATGGAGGGAAAGAAGAACTACTGCCACATAAAAACAATATCTATACAAATTATGTAAGCTGCTTTGTGTTTCGATACACTAAGAAATAAATCCTACTGCAATCAGTTGCACTTTTGAATAAACTAAAGAACATATGCAGTAATTGAGAAAACAGTAAACCCTTTCCAATAGAAAAGAGCACATGTTAACGCACTTGGAATATTAGGCTAAAAGACTGCAGCATTTCCTTCAAAAAATTCCAGGCACTCCTGGATGAGACTAATTATGTGGATCAGGCCCAGTTGTGGCACAGAAACAACCTTGGTTGTCCTGTACAATGACCTATGCCAAGTGAGGGATGGGGCCGAGTATGACAAGGATGATACTGCTGTACCTCTCAGTGGCTTTCAGTATGATCAAACCATAGTAATCCTTCTGGGGCAACTGTCTGAGCTGAGAGTAGGGGGCATTCCATTGCAGTGGTTCCATTCTTTCTTGGAGGGCTCTTTCCAGAAAATGGTGCTTGGGGAATATTGTTGCCATACCCGAACCAGTTATAGGATTTCGTGCTGTCTAAATATGCATAGGACTGCACCATAACTGATTTTTCCTCCTATTCCCTCCCCCCTCAAGCTGCTTTTTTATAGCTTCTTGCTTGAAGAATAGAACTGGAGATCACGAAAGCTTGCACAACTCCAAGCACTGCATTCTACAGCTTTTAGAATTTTGTAGTGCTTACACAGCTGCCTCCAATATGTGTATGTGTGCATTAACTTACCCTCTTCCTCCACTTCTTCCGTCGATTCGCAACGGAAGGATCTAAAACAGCCTCTGCGCGGCCACGAAAAATAACGTGATCCTCAAACCGTACCTTTCACGCCAAACCCACACGCTCCCCCCCTCGCTGCCCCAATTCCTCGCCGCTGCCCGACTTACCCGCCGAAGAGCTCGGCGCGTTCTTATAGGCTCACTAGCGCGAGTGAACACCCTTTCACACGTCACATGCAAAAGGAGGAGGAGGAGAAACCGGAAGGAAATTGACTGCCAACGACTGCACCAACCCTTTGGACTCCTCCTCCGCCTTTTATTTTTTCTTTACCGCGCTACGAGAATGTGTGCATGAGGAACAGCTGTGAAAGCGAGTCGTGGAAAGAGGCAAAACTCGGATGAAGATGCGCATGCGTGGCTACGTGAAGGGCGGGCACTGAGACGGGGGTGGAGCTGAGTAGAGGCGTTCAAAAGCGGGCAAGCTGGAGCGGCCGAGGAGGTAGGGAGGAGTGCGCCTGCGCGGCGACGAGTGAGCGAGGTAGGCGAGCTTCGGGGCAGGGTGGGGGTTGGAGAGGAAATCGGCATAAGGAGGTTTATTGCTCTGCCCCGCCTCCTATCCGGAGGAGACGGAGGAAGTGGGAACAGTGAAGGTGGCTGGCAGCGGCTGCGGTTCTTCCCAGTTAGGTGGAAGACTGAGATCGGCTTCTAGGTAAAGGGTTTCTTTCTTTCGCTACTCCGTCCCTGTAAGGAAAGGCGCTGCTACGACGAGAACGCAGGTGGGGGCTGCGTCCCTGGGTGAAAGAGGTCGCCTCCAACCCCTTCCGCCTTTCTACACGGGAGGAAGAGATCGGGGGGGCGGTATTTTGCCACGACCCCTGTTAATGAGGACGCTTAACTTCCCAGAATTCTTAACCACTCTAATGGAAATGCATGATCGAATGCTGAGCGAAATACCTAACTTGTGTGTGTGTCTCGTTTTTTAAAATCATCCCTCTCTGTGTTGGGAAGAAGCTGGGGACTTTATATGTTAAGGAATGCATTATTTTTCTGCTTTTTCTTCTCTCTCTTCCCCACCCCATTGAACAGGCCAAGCGTTGTCCCGATCAGGGAAAAGCCCTTCTCTTACCCTCCCCTGCCCTGCATATGGATGAAAATAGACGTTTTCTACAGCCTCAAAGTTGTCGAACACCAAGGATAAAACAGCCTGTACCTGAAGTGATGCCTGCAATCTTTGATGCTAATTAAGTAGTGTTGTGGAAGGTTTTGAAGACAGTCTCCTGCCATCCTGCAGTTTGGCACAAGTACTTTCCACCAGTTTTGCAATACGCTACCCAAAATACTCCACCCATTTTTTTCTACCCGCAACTACTGATCTCTGTGTAGCAGGCCAGCGATGTACTTTCTCTGGTAGCATATTTGAGAACTTTCCATGTGCTCATCTGTAGTTGTTATGAACAGGAAACTACTAGCAAGCATGTGATTTTTAGGTTACTAGAGCTGGAATAATAAACTTGGAGAAACTGCTCATTACCATTCCTTGTGAGCTTGGAGTATTTTATAGAGCATCAAGAGAACTGAGGTGAAAAACTGTATCCTTGTCTGTTCCTTTGCTGGAAGTGCCAGTGTTGTCACATGGTATAATAGTCACAATTGTGTGCCTTTTATCCTTTTGGACCATACTGAAAAAGACCATTTGTAAGAGTCAAACAGTTATTCATTCTTTGAGGCCTTAGAATTTTGTTGGCTTTTTTGCATTTGAGCTATTTATAAAAGGCAATATGTCCTTCTTTAACTTTCGTAAAATTTTCAAACTGGGAGGTGAAAAGAAGAAGAAGCAGTATGAGCATGTCAAGCGGGACTTGAATCCGGAGGACTATTGGGAAATTATAGGAGAACTGGGTGATGGTGCTTTTGGGAAAGTGTTTAAGGTAAGCAATATTTTTGCCTCATGGGGTTCTGCTGTCCTGAACGCATATCATTATGCATTCATTTTCTTGGTCATATCTCATGCTGTTCTCTCACTAAAGTCCATAGTGACTTCTTAGTTCTTAGAAAGTCTTTTGGTGTCTTGATACATCTTATAGCAAAGATGGTTTTTCTTTTGAGCATATTAGTTGTCTTAAATGGACATAGCTGGAATGCTTAATCACTGCTTAGTATAGTAGAAACAAGGCCTTGAAATCAACTCTTAAGTCACAGGCCCACATTTTTTCCTTCTGCTTTTGCCAAGTTTCTTATTTTCTTTCTATGACTGATGTTGCTTCAAACTCCTATAAAAGGAGTTTTGTTGTATATATTCTGTTAAAATGGCCTTGCATGACTACTTTACTCTTGCCAAAACATAAGCATTAAAGGGTTTTGTTAGGTGAGTTGTATTAAAGCATTTAGTGTTTTCTTTTGTAAATTCCTGAAGCGAAGTAAAATTAACTATTTTACTCTAGCTAAGTATTTTGTTTTTTATATAATTTACATAACTTAAGTGTTTGGTATTGCACTAGTCTGTCTTCACATTGAATAGTTTCCTGTTAGAAGATATTACAATTTTGAAGAAGCTCCTAACATGGAAAATATAAATTTTAACTCAATACAGTTTTCTCCTTTTTGAGTTCCACATCTCTGATTTATGGTGGGTGGAGAACATTAGTAACATGGTATAAAGGAAAACACTATTTTAAAGCATGAGCTCATCAGAGAGCAGACTTGGGAAGGTCACTTAATAGTGAATGGTAGAACAGGTACATTGCTTGTTGAGGGAAAAACACAGTAATACAGAACATTACTGTAGTTTTCCAGTATGTTGTCTTCCTGTTAATAACTTCATTGTAGTAGATTTGCAACATGGCCGAAAAGTCAAAGCTGAGTTCTAGTGTTCTAGGATTACACTGTGCTGAGAAGAAAGTTGGACATGTGGGTAATACAGAACTGCTTCTTAAAAAAAAATCAACCTTGCCCTTGAACAAACAAGTTTTGTGGTGTCTTCTGTTTAGCACCTGCCATTTTAGGTGGATGAGTATTGGTTATAAATTGAAATGGGTGTTTACAGGATGCTATAGAATATTCATGTTCCAATTAGGCTTACAATATTTAAGACTAAGTGTTTGAATTGGGTTGATGTATTTTTAAATAAAGTTCATGGTCTGAGACTTTATACCAAAGAAGTAATATATTTTCATGCTCAAATTCCCATTGAAAGTATAATTAGCAAAGGAAATCATTAGTGTCTGTAACTGACAAAAGGTTGAGCTTATTCCTATACGCAGGCCCACCCTCTCATTTTGAAAAATAGTCTTCATATAGCAAGATATATTAACATACACAAACCACCGTTTCATCTGATATTTGGAGAGAGCGTATACTTAGGTCCTCAGGAGAACAGAAGATTCTTGCTATTCCAGGTATGAAGGGTGTTTAAGTTCTCTATGGAGCTACTCTTGAAAAGTGTCTAGAAGCTATAAAGTGCTGTCCCAACTGTCCCAACTGTTCCCTGGACTAGCAAGAGAGCAGATGTATCTCCTCTGCAGTTAATCTTTCATTGGCTACTGAACTGTTTTCATTTTGTTGTTTTTACATTTTGTTGTTTAGATTTTTGAAACCCTAAACAGCTGGGTTCATTAAGGACTACCTCCTCCCTTATGTTCTTTTTATACCCAGCATAAGAGGCCCTGCTTAATATCTCCCCCCCGCCCCCCACACCAAATTGCTGTGACTGAAGTATAGCAGATGGCTGTGAAGGCAGGACCTTCACACCAGCCCTGTGAATTCTTGCAAGCCATGTTATTGGATTTCTTCTGTCTTTCTGAAGCATGACACTTCTGTGGAGGCTCCGAGAGAAAAGACTGCAAGTTGTTTTGCTCAGCCAACTGCTGTCACAGGGCTATGCACCTTTTTGCTAACTGTTGTGCAGTCTACTCTTTTTATCATTGGTATGGCTTTTGTGGTTCTTATTTAGTCATCTTTATCTGTAGCTGCTTTTTTCCTTCAAAGAATAACACAATAAGTGCAGTTATCGTGGTGAGGTTTACTGGAGATTTGCCTACAAGAAAACTCATGTTACAGGCTTTGAGAATAAAGTGATATAGTTCAAATCTGATTGCTCAGAGGTCTTTAAGCATACTGTGGCTAGTCTACTTTGGATTTTTTTCAATATGGCTGATTATTTTTATCTGTTCCACACCAGGATTGGAAACCAGATTGGAAGTAAGCCTAAATGGTTAGCCATGGTAGATGAATCGCATTTAAAAAAGGATGTGTAATCCTCAACTTGGTCTAATGCTAACACCATGCAGCTGAGCTGCCTTGTTTTTTTCTGTATGTACTAACAGGTTCTAATGTTTGCTTCTGCCTTGAAGTACTCCAGTATACTCTCTGTATAGTGATAGAATGCAAGGCAGAATAGGCTTCAAGTCACTACTTGCAATTTATTGTCACCTTTTTGAAGGACATATTCCAGAAATGGTATGTAGAATAGAGACAGTGTGGTATGGTGGCTAAGAGTATGGGATTGGGACTTGGGCAATCTGAGTTCTACTCCCTGCTTTGAGCTCTTTAAAGTGAGATATAAATAAGAATACTGTACCTCTTCCCATGGCCTTTGACTTGTGGGCTTTTGCAAGGCTCCATTTTGTTGCTTGTGCTCCTAAACATCCATGTGATTTTAACATCGAAATTATTACTGCAATGCATTCTACATGGAGCTGTCTTTGAAGACCATTCAGAAGCTGCAGTTTGTGCAAAACATGACAGCTAGACAAATAATCACGATCAGAAGTCTGAACACAAGACCAGTTTGATGGTCCTTGCATTCAGTGCCTGTATGCTTCCAAGCCTAATTCAGAGCGCTGGCTTTAACCTATGCAAGGGCTGTAACTACAATAGCTAATAGTACATCTCTTTCCAGACAGAAAGGGGAGGGCCTTCTCACTTGTACCTCAACAGTTGAGTGGTCTACCACTGAGGCCTATATGATACCAGCTTTTGGCACCAAGTTAGATAGTTAAAGGGTAGCTAAGCACAGAGGGTTATGGTAGTCCTCTGTGCCGAGGCAGTTAGATACTGATGTTTACCTGATAGTTTGCTGTCTGGAGTTTTTACCAGGTCTATTCTGTATTAAAACTGCTGGGTGCTATTTAAAAAAAACTCAGGAAAAATGTTTCTATTGGACCATGGTTTTTGTTTGGTAGCTCTTATAAATTGCCCAGGGAGCTTTGACTACTGGGTTCTATAGAAGATAATTTGAGTATGTTTTACTATATTATTATTCTGGAGATTTGGGATGAAGAGTCAGTCATCAGACTTCTAGCTCTATTTTGTTTCTATCATCTTGTTCCTTGTGGAGCTTGGAGTAGAAAAGCATGAACAATCAGAAGCATAAGTCAGACAAGGCAGGAGTGTTATTGATTAATGGTACTGATTTGGAAGATATATTTCTTAATTTTATGAATTGCCCAATAACTGAATGGCTCTCTGGGTGGTTTACAAAGTTAAAAGGGCATAAAACAAAAGAGGAAAAACCCTATCAAATCAAACAGTGGGCCAATACAGTGATCACAATAACATACCCAAATAATCAAGGTGGGACACAGGCACAGCAGCAATAGTTAAACAATATTGAGATTAAAAGAACTCTATTAAAATATCTGGTGAATAAAAAGACTCCAAAAAGAAAAAAAGTAGGTATACCTCTCTGGGGAGAGTTCTAAAGGTAGGGTGCCACAATTGAAAAGGCACTTGTAGTTGTCACCCGCACAGGATGATCTAAGGGCCCAGGTAGCTACATACCAAGGGAGGCATTTCTTCAGAAGCCCCACCTCAATCCTGTGATCTCAGAAAGGGGGCTGTGGTACCTGATTCCCTCCATCATGCCCTTGCAGCTACTGCTGGAAGAACCGGAGTGGCTGTTTCAAGAACTCACAGAAATAACCTCAGAAGTCAGAAATGTGAAATAGTACAAGAGGGAAGAAAGGCCAGTATGTAAATCATATGCCTCCTTCAGCCCTAGCTCCACCCCCAAATGTCTGTTCCCTTGATGGGTTCATACACCCAGACAAGAAGCAAAACATGGAGGCCAGGTAAGGAAAATACCTCTGTTGCTCCTCTAAGCTTTGGTGGCAGCAGCTTGACAGGGCAATGGATACATAGCAACCTCTGAGTCAGGAGACTTCCATGTCTAAATGTTGCAAGCTCCCTTGACTATGTATTTTCTTAGAAAAGTAAAGAATAGGCATTAGAATTAATTGTTTTTTCTTTTCTGCTCTTCCCCTTTTTGATCATCTGCACCCCCATCCTGGAGCCTTTTCGGAGGGTTGAAGGAACCTCCAGGATCATGTTGAATAGGGTATAGGGAGTCACTGTGTAGTGTGATAAAATTGGTAGAATGCCACCCACTTGAGTGCAATTCCTAGTACCCCAATGTTCCTGAGAATACTTTGTGTGGGGAGGAGGGTGGCAAGTTTATTTCCATTTTCCTTCATTTAAAGTTCAGTCCTGTGAGTTGACTTTTGTTGTTCCATGCAGCTGTTGTAACGAGCTACTGCAGTTGAGATTTTCATTGCGCCTTGCGTATATTTGAGCTTTTGTTTCCAAAGCTTAAAAACTAAGTTCAAAAATAACCAGTTGGATTAGAAATAGGGGTTTTTAGAGTCACAGGAGCAGTAATTCAATTTACTTTGTAACTAGGCTTGAGTCTTTGCCTCAGAAGATGGTATAACATTATCAAAAACACATAGCATTTTGTAATACTTGCAACTTTGTACTCAATTCATTAAATTGAGAGTCCTGTCAGACTATTCAGCAGCATATTAATTTGAATAATAAATGCACACTAGTGCTTTCATCCATAACTAAACAAAGTCAGTTCCTTAAAGGAAGTGTACTGTGCAGGTTATTTCTTGCCTTTTACATTAGTCATTCGTGTGCCAGTTTTATACCA